TAAAAATAAAAGACACTAAGTAAAAACATGACAACACATGAAAGTATAAAACTCACTGGTAAAGGTAAATATATAGTCAAATTCAGAATACCGTAACACTGTAATCATGGTACAAAGTCACTTTTAATTCTAGTATAAAAGTTAAAAGAAAAAAGTATTAAAATAACTACAGCTACAATAATTTGTTAATGGGTACATAATTACCCATTAACAAATAAAAGTGTGACATCAATAGCATAAACTGTGGAGGAAAGAGAAACAGAAGTGTAGAGGTTTTGTATCTGATTGAAGTTTAGTTAGTATAACCTTAAAATGGACTGTTATAACCATAAGATATTTTATATAACCTTCATGGTGACCAAAGAAAAACAGCCTTAGTAATATCTAAAAAATAGAAGGGAATCAACATACACTACCACAGAAAATCATCAAATCAGAAAAAAAGACAACAAGAGTGGAAGAAAAGAAACAAAGGATCTACAAAATAGCAAGAAAACAACTAAATGGCCCTACCTATCAATAATTACTTTAAATGTAAATGGATTAAATTCTCCAATCAAAAGATACAGAGTGGCTAAATGATTTTTTTTAAAAAGATCCAACAATATGTTGCCTACACGAAGCTCACAGTAGCTGTAAGGATACACAGAAGCTGAAAGTAAAAACATAAAAGGATGAAAGAAGATATGCCAGGCAAATCGTAACCAAAAATAGAAGTGGCCTTACCTATATGAGACACAATAGACTTTAAGATCTGTCACAAGAGACAAAAAAGGTTACTATACAAGGATAAATTAGTCAATTCATCAAGAGAATATAATAACCTTATACGTGTAAGGTTAACCTTATATATATATGCACCTAACATTGGAGCTAATAAATATACAAAGCAAGTACTAATAGAACTGAAGCTCCCAGCAATATAATAGTAATAGAGGACTTCACTAACCCACTTTTAACAATGGATAGATCATCCAAACAGAGTATCAATATGGGAATATCATATATGAATAACACCACAGACCAAAGCAACCTAGCAGACTATATAGAACATTCCATCAACAGAATACATATTGAATGCACACAGAACATTCCCTCAGGAGAGATCATATGTTAGGCTACAAAACAATTCTAAAATCTGAGGAAATTAAAATCATATCAACAGGAATGAAGGCTTTAGTCACTCCACTTGGGGCCTGCTGAAGGCAAAGAGAATATAAAATAGGTAATAGAAGACAGTAGTTATCAATATCAACTAGGAGCACATGATCAGTTACAGAAACAAGGACTATAATAGTCATGAATATTTCTACCTTATATTTTCATAAATAAAAGTAAAAAAAAATCATATCAAGTATCTTTGCTGACCAAAATTGTATGAAACCAGAAATCATTAACAGGAATTGAAAAATTCACAAATCTATAAACAGGAGAAAAACTGAAAAGTTCATAAAGTAAACAATAGACTCCCCAAAAACCAATGGGTCAAATAAGAAATTTAAACAAAAGTCAAAGTCATTTTGGACAAATGAAAATGAAAAAACAACAAACCAAAACCAAGAGGATACACTCACAGCAGTTCTAAGAGGGCAGTTTATGGCAATAAACATCTATATTAAGAAAAAAATCTCAAATAAACAACGTAATTTTACACTCCAAAGAAATAGTAAAAAGAATTAATTAAGCTCAAAGTTAGCAGAAGGAAGAAATAATAAAAAACAGAAATAAAATAGAGACTAGAAAGACAACTGAAAAAAAAAAACAAAACTAAGAGTTGTTTTTCTCAAAAGATAAACAAACTGACAAATCTTTAGCTAGCCTAACCAAGAAAAAAAATAAAAAATAAAGAGAATTCAAATAAATAAAATCAGAGTTGAAAAGAGACATTACAACTGATACCACAGAAATATTATGAAAAATTATATACCAATAAATGGGATAACTTAGAAAAATGGATAAATTCCTAGAAACATACAACCTACTAAGACTTAATCATAAAGAAATTGTAACCGCTGAATAGACCAATAACAAATAAAGAGGCTGAAGCAGTAATCAGATGGCTTCATGGATGACTTCTAACAAACATTTAAAGAAGAACTGATACTAATCATTGCAAACTTCCAAAAAACTGAAGAAGAGGGAACACTTCCAAACTCATTTTAAGAGGCCAGCATTGCTCTCACACTGAAGGTAAGGATACTACGAAAAAAGAAAATTAGAGCCAATATCATTAATAAAACTAGATGTAAAAATCCTCAACAAAATAGTAGGAAACTGAATTCAACAGCACTTAAGAAGGATCATTCAACATGATCAAGTGGGATTTATACCTGCAATGCAAGGATGCAAATTAATAAATGTGATACCCCACATTAACAGAATGAAAGAATAAAAAGTATCTGATCATCTGAATAGAGGCAGAAAAAAATTAACAAAACTAAATATTCTTTCATGATAAAAATTCTCAATGAATTAGGTATAGAAGAAATGTACCTCAATATAATAAAGGCCACATATGACAAGCCCACAACTGACACCATACCCAATGGTGAAATGCTAAAAGCTCTTCCACTAAGAATATTAAGTAACAAGACAAAGGTGCTCACTCTTACCACTTCTATTCAACACAATACTGGTTGTTGTAGCTAATTAGGAAAAAAAAAAAAAGATATAAAAGGCAAACAAATCAGAAAGGAAGAAGTTAAACTGTCTTTGTTTACAAATGACATGATTTCATATATAGAAAACCCTAACGACTGCACCAAAAAAACCTCTTAAAACTAATAAACAGGCTGGGCATGGTGGCTCACGCCTGTAATCCCAGCATTCTGGGAGGCCGAGGCAGGTGGATCGCTCAAGGTCAGGAGTTCAAAACCAGCCTGAGCAAGAGCAAGACCCCATCTCTACTAAAGATAGAAAGAAATTAATTAGCCATCTAAAATATATATAGAAAAAATTAGCTGGGCATGGTGGCACATGCCTGTAGTCCCAGCTACTCAGGAGGCTGAGGCAGAAGGATTGCTTGAGCCCAGCAGTTTGAGGTTGCTGTGAGCTAAGCTGATGCCACGGCACTCTAGCCGGGACAACACAGTGAGACTCTGTCTCAAAAAAAAAAACCAAAAAACAAAAAAAATACCCCAACTAATAAATTCAATAAAGTTGCTGGACACAAAATCAGTAAGTAAAAGTTAGTTGTGTTTCTATACACTCACAATGACCTAACCAAAAAGGAAATTTAAAACAAAAAAAGCTCATTTATAATAGCATGAAAAATAATGCTTAGGAATAAATTTAACCAAAGAGGTGAATGGTCTGTACACTGAAAACTGTAAGACAAAGAAACTGAAAAAGATACAAACAAATGGAAACATAACCTATGTTCATGGATTGCTACAATTAATACCGTTAAAATACCTATAATATCCAAAGTGTTCTACAGATTCAATGCAATACCTATCAAAATATTAATGGCATTTTTCATAGAAATAGAAAAATAATCCTAAAGTTCCTATGGAACCATAAAGGATCCGGAATAGCCACTCTTATGCAAAAAAAAACAAAACAGAAGGGATCACACTTCCTCATTTCAAACTATATTACAGATCTATAATAATCAACACATTATAATACTAACATAAAAACACATGTTTACACCAATGGAACAGAATAGAAAGCCCAGAGATAAATCCACACATTTACATCAGCTGATCTTTGAAAAAGGTGTCAAGAACACATAATAGGGAAAGGATAATGTCTTCAATAAATGATGTTGGAGAAACTGGATATCCACATGCAAAAAAATGAAACTGAACCCTTACTTCACACCATATACAAAATGAATTTAACTTAAACATAAGACCTGAAAATATAAAACTATTCTTTAATAAAAGAAAATTGGCAGGGGGGAGGGGAAGCTATGTAACACTGGTCTAGATAATGATTTTTGGATAGGACCCCAAATCCAATCAAGAGCACAGTCAATAAAAGCAAAAGTAGACAAATGGGACTGCATCAAATTAAAAAGATTCTACACAGAAAAGCAAACATTCAACAGAAAAAGCGAAGAGATAACCTATGGAATGGGAAAAAAATATTTGCAAAACATACATCCAGTAAGGAGCTAATATCCAAAATATAAAAGGAACTCAACTCAATAGCAAGAAAAGAAATAATCTGATTAAAAAGTGGGTAAAGAACCTGAATAGATATTTCTTAAAAGAAGACATACAAATGGCCAATACAAAAAAAACGCTCAACAGACTAAAGGATAACTTTTTCTCATGATTTTTTTTTTTTTTTTTTTTGAGACAGAATCTTACTCTGTTACCCTGAGTAGAGTGCCGTGGAGTCAGCTCAGCTCACAGCAACCTCAAACTCCTGGGCTCAAGCAATCCTTCAGATTAAAGGATAACTAAACATGAAAATATCCTCAACATCATGGGGAAATGCAAATCAATCAAAAACACAATGAGATATCACTTCACACCTGTTCGAATGGCTATTATCAAAAACATATTCCATAGTTGCAGTTCTCAAAACAAACAAAAAGATAAGTGTTGGTGAGAATGTGGTAAAAGAGAATCCTGGTACACTACGGGTGGGAATGTAAACTGGTATAGCCATTAGGGAAAAGAGCACGAAGTTTCCTCAAAAAATTAAAAACAGAACTACCACATGACCTAATGATCCCACTTCTGGTATATATTCAAAAGAATTCAAATCAGGATCTCAAAAAGATACCTCTACTCACTCCAGTATTATTCACTACTGATGTTGTGGCAAGGTGTACATCTAATATTACAGCTCTTGACCGGGGAAAGAACCCAGCGGGACATGAAGAGTAGGAGAACAGTCTTTATTCAGCCAGCAGGCTCAACCCAGCAAGTGTTACAGCTCTCTTCCCGTCTTCTGATCTTCTGCCCCTTTTCCTTGTTCTCCTCTTGTTTTTATACCCTTGGTAGGACTCAAAAAGTGTCCAATCAACTACAAGCTTTAACATCCAATCAGCAACAAGCTTTAACATCCAATCAGCAACAGTGGGATTCAAAAATTACCCAATCAGGATTACACGAGCAGCGCAGCTGGAAGCAGGCTGTGGCACTACCCTGGTCCCCCGGGTGTACTACCGCGGGGTTGGCCCCAGCAGCATGCCCTCCAACCGGCCCACACAGCGCCCGCCCCTCGGGGATGTGGCCACGTCCTGGCGCCTGATGTTTTCTGCCACTGCCAAGGTACAAAAACAACCTAAGTGTCTCTTGGATGAATGGATAAAGAAAATGTGCAAACATACACAATAAAATATTTTTCAGCCATAAAACAAGGAAGTCCTACCATTTGAGACCACATGGATGAACCTAAAATGTGGAGTTCAGAACTCACAGAGAGTAGAATGGTGGTTGTCAAGGGCTGGGGGGAGGGGAGTGGGGGAGATGTAAGTCAAAGGGCACAAACATTCAGTACAAGATGAATAAGTTCTAGGGATTTAACGTACAGCATGATGACTATAATTAATAATACTGTATTGTATACTTGAAATTTGCTAGGACAGATTTTAAGTGTTCTGACCATACAGAAAAAAATGGTAACTAGGTAAGGTGATGGATGTGTTAATTAGTTGACTGTGGTAATCCTTCACTATATATATATTTTAAATCATTACGTTGTACACTTTAAATATACACAATTTTTATTCATCGATTATAACTCAATAAAATGGGAAAAATTATTCAAGATGAAATGGTGAATTAATGATACAGATGGTACGATAAAAAATTCTCCAATGGAAATGCACACTAGTAAGCTCTTCAAAAGTCACACTTCAAATCTCCACATTTTGCCATAATTGAATATCTACAGAAAGAGTCAACCACAGACAATAAAACAAATTACCTTTAGAAGAAATAAAAAGAGAAGTAGTGTTTATATTTGATTCTCCTTATTCCATAATTTTCTGTGCTAATATTTCTCATTTTAATAATCTGGTATCAATCATATCAACTAACGGGAAAAAGAGACTGGAGTCTGCTGAAAAGACAAAGAAATGGAGCAAAATTCTGTTTTCATAAATCAAATGCTCTTTCTTAAAATTAAGTTCCTTATAACATTCATTTATTAGATGTAAAAATTTTGCTGTTTTAAGGGGAAAAAAATTTAATGATACATAAATTCCTTTTACCTTGCATCTGTGAATTATTTCAGATGGTGCTGGCAACCAGTAATGCCTGTAGTAGTGGCCTGGTTATTTGAAGCATTATGACACATGGAGTAAAGAACCTAATTGAAAGCACTAGACTGTTTGGTTCTATTGGTTAGAAGGCAGGTATCACTGGCTAAACTTTTGATCTAATCAAAGCTAGTGTCATTCCTCAGCTTTTTTTATCATAATTATATCTAAGAGTAAGTGATTGTTTTATCCTAACTTTGCCCCCAAAGTTAGAACTAGGTCATGGTGATTTTAGCTATGTTTCAGAAAAAAGAATTCAAGAAATTCATTACCCCCATTCCACTTTACCCACCACCCCATTTGTGTTTGTGTGTGTATAAAAGTTTATTTTCATCTTCAAACACTAGTCCCCACTTTATCTATGGGGGTATGTTTCAAGACTCCCAGTGGCTGCCTGAAACCAAGGATAGTATCAAATCCTGTATGTATTGTTTTTTCCTATATATATTAATACATACCTATGATAAAGTTTAATTTATAAATTAAGCACAGTAAGAGAATAACAACTAATAATAAAATACAACAATTATGACAATATGGTATCATCATTCTCTTGTGCTTTGGAGCCATTATTAAATAAAATAAGGGTTACCTGAACACAACACTGTGATAACACAACTTCAATATGATAACCACGACAGCTACTAAGTGACTATGGGATATGCTGGACAAAGGGATGATTCATATCCCAGGTAGGATGGAGTAGGAGTGGTGAGATTTCATCATAATACTCAGAATGGCACATAATTTAAAATTTATGACTTGTTTATTTCTGCAATTTTCCATTTATATTTTTGGGCCATGGTTGACCATGAGAAACTGAACTGTGAATAAGGGTGGACTACTATACTGGGCATACAATTGTAATAACTATCTCCATTGGATCCAAAAAGACATGATAAAATGGCAAGTAAATATAGAGCATGACCCTAAATATATGTGTACACACACATAATAAAAAAAATATTAAAAAGGAAAAACTTAGACTATTTTACTTTTTTTCTTTATGGTTTTCTATAGCTTCTAAATTCTCTACAACAGACATAAAACATTTTTAAATTTTCTTTAAAAAGCTATGTTTTTATAAATGAGATATGGTTGCATCTCAAAACAGGATCTTCACCCATATCAGACTAGATAGAAAGTAGTACAGTATGGCATACTAGGGCTTCCCTTATTTTTTTGGTCTTTGATTTTCCTAATCCATTTTCTTTTCATATTTTAAATCTCCCTTCCTTACCTTAGTTTTACAGCTATTATTTATACATTTTTACTCTACAGACTAAAAGATAACCAAATATCAACAGAAAATGATTTTATCTATGTCACACTGCCAAGAAAATTACAGAATGAGAGGATTAAATTGATCTCTCCCCTGTTATTTCTTTCCTGCCCCATCTTCTTGATGTGTACATGTGTGTGTGCGTGTGTATAGACACATGAGCATGAATGTATAGTTCTGAATTCACAAATTAACTAAAATGGATGAAAATACATACCGACTGTTGCCTCACTAATATCCTTTTCAATACCATTTTTCTGGGAAGGGATGCAAAAGGGAATCATCTAAATATTTGTCAAAAGGAGAGGCATTTCTCAAATGCATATTAGGAACAAATACTCTAAGACATAACAGAATCTGTGAAACGAGGAATTTCCTTCTCTCAAAACAATATTTAATTTGATTTAAATCTGAATTCACAAGAAAAGCCAAATGTTAGTAAATTCATACCACAAAGTGCTACTGGAGAGAAAGGATTTAATGGCTTAGTAAAGATTTGTTAAAACTCTCAGACTGCTATTGTGTCTGAACTTATTTGAATTAAATGCAAACTGAACTTACATATTTTGTCATTCTTCAAGCAGGAGGAGTTATTAGAGCAATTCATAAATGAATTCAGGCTTTAAAATCAGATTTATGATTGATAAGTTCCCAACTATCATAACCATGAAAAGATGAATAACAGATTTAACTCTCTCTACTATCACACAGATGTAAGCAGATGAAAGTGTAAGAAGAGAGAAAAACAAAGATGGAAAAGGAAATAGTAGTTGAATCTCTACTGGTCTCTTTCGCCAGAAATTTTATAAGACATGGTCCACCATCTTGCTATTTAGAGTGTGATCCATGAACATACATCATCAGCATCACCTTAGAGCTTGGTAGAAATGCAGAACCTCAGGTTCACTCCAGACCTATTAAATGAGAATCTGCATTCAACAATATTCCCAGGGGATATGAATGCACAGCTACAGTTTAAGAAGCACTGGTCTGCACAGGCTCTGCCAGGCAGGCTCTGCCCCTATTTATTTTGTTATTGCTGCCTAAGCCTCTGCCTCTTAAAATCCAAACACAATTTAGGTAAATCTATTAGATCATAACTACTACTGACCCTCCTAACTCCCACATCATTGTAAATGAATATATGACAGGTTAATTTGTTCTCCATATTAGGGTGGTGTATATATATATATGTCTTATTATACCTATGAAAATGCCTTTCTAGAGTTTAAGGTCCACATCTAATATACGTTCATGTTTCATAATTCCTAGCAGTTCCTCGTGGTGTACAGGTAGGCGCTCATTAAACATTTATAGAACAAATGCATAAAAAGGAAACTAAGCACATCCTCTCTATTGACAAATCCCCAAACAAAAGTCTGAGGGAAAATACAACTTTTTTAAAGTTCCAAAACAATGTAAGTGCCGAAAATTAAACACCTTCCTTATATCCAGCAAAATTAATTGGGAAAGTAATTATTATTGCTTTATTTCTTCAAAAGTTACTCCTATTCTCTTAAGAAACTATCAATATTAGTCAGAAACTACACTTTTACTGGATGTTTTGCTTTACCAAAAAGAGAGATACATAAGGCTAGTGTTGTATGTTACCGTATCATAAAAATCTTCCACATGAATTTAAGAAAAACCAGAATCCTTCCACTGTCACATTTAAAAAAATATAACAACAATCAAATTCCACTCAGATATTTGCGCTTTCACTGGAGAACAGAAGCTTAACTTAGATAAAAGGCTTAAAAATACCCTACAGGTAAAATGACATTGATAAAGTATTATATATATTATATGTAAATGTCTATATCATATATAAAATGTTACTTATAGAGAATATATAGTCATGTGCCACATACATGGTTCAGTTAATGACAGACCACAAAAATAGAATATAACATTCATGTACAAGGTGGCCCCATAAGATGATAATACTATAATTTCATGTACCTTTTTTATGTTTACATATGTTTAGATACATACTTACCATGGTATTACAGTTGCCTACAGTATTCAGGGCTGTTACATGCTATATAGGTTTGCAGCCTAGGAGCAACAGGCTATACCATATAGCCTAGGTGTGTAGTAGACTATGCCGCCTAGGTTTGCGCATATACACTCTGTGATGTTCACACAATGATGAAATCACCTAACAATGCATTTCTCAGAATGTACTCCCATTGTTAAGCAACATATCACTATATGTATTAATATACTGCATGTGCATGTATGTGCACATAGTCTCTCTCCCTCTCTTATTTTACCTTCCCAAAAATAGCTCTGATGTAGCTTTTATCAGTTAATAAAAAATTATTATATAAAATTACAAAACTTAACATTACCTAAGTATCTAATCTTTGCCTAAAAATAAGAATTTCATATTATACCTGCCCAAAAGGTATCCAAGAAACTAAAACTATTAATAAATAAGTTTTACTTGTTCTTTCTCTAATTAAGATGTTTTTTAATATTTCAAAGCCATTTTAAAGAAGGATTTTATTTTTCTGGAACTGTACCCCTAACCATCTGAAGAAAATAAGCTGGAATGAAAAGGAAAACATACTGACACAGAATGTAAAATCATTAATAACTTGGAGTTTTAGATAAACACTTCACTTCTACAAAAACATTTTAAAGGACCAATTTAACATTTTTTCAGTCTGCAAGGAACCTGCATAATTATTCTCATCTTACATTTAATTTCATTTATTTCCATGTTTGTTCTCACTGCCACACTGATCTCTTTGAGGGTAAGGACCTATTTATACCCCTCATGGATCTGAGCTGAAGCAAGTCTTACAGTAGTTAATATTGACTAAGATGTTTTGACAAAAGTTCTTTTCTAATGTTAGTTCTCAGAATGACTCTATTACCATTAATTCAACAAATATTTAATGAAAGCTTCTAAGGGCCAGGTACTCTTTGGGAATATGGCAGTGAAAAAAACAGACAAAAGTCTCAGCCCTCACTGAGTTTATTGTCTACTAAAAAGACAGAGAACACAAGTAAAATAAACAGTATGTCAGACAGTGATAAATCCAACAGAAACAAATAAAAGAGGAAAAATATAAGACACATAGGAATGGGTAGTAGAATTGGAATTTAAAGACAGTACTCAGGAAAGGTCACATTATGAGGGTAACATTTAAGCAAAGAAGGGAAGGGAGTGAGGAAGTGAGCCACGGCCACGCGTGTCTCGAGGAAAGAGCATCGCACACCACCACAGTCGAAGACCCTGAGGCCACAGTGGGGCAAGCAGGAAGCCGAGTGGACTGTGGAGCAGGGCTCTGGTGGATGAGGTCGGACAGGGCCTGAGAGCCACGTACATCCTCCAGCAAAGGCCAGCAAACTTTTTTTGTAAAGGGTCAGATAGTAAATACCTTACATTTTGTGATCTATATACAATCTGTCTCACAAATTTTTCTCTTTTTTCCAAACTCTTTAAAAATGCAAAACTCATCCTTAGCTTGCAGGCTGTATACAAAAACTGGGGGGGTGGGGGGTGGTTTGCCAATCCTGCTGAAGAGCTTTGTATGTCACTGAAAAGTCTTTTGTGTCAGGAAGCAATCTCTTGGTATCATGAAGTACAAAGGAATAGCTTATAAAAACTAATACAAATAAGAGTAACCTAATAAACATTCAAATTTCTCTACTGAGAGGCCACATATTTGTCTATGATTTAAAGCCAGTATTTACTCTCAACTCAATTGTCAACTTCTTCAGAAAGAGTTGGCCTTCACTTATCCATTCAGCAAATATTTACTGATTGCCTACCAAGAGTTACATACTTCTAAGGAAGAGCACAGGATACAATATCCACGCCCTCACTGAACTTATTTTCAAAAGGGGGAGGCAGACAACATAAACAAATAAGTAACTCATAACACAGGAACATGAGCTAGGAAAAAATAAAAACAGGCAATGTCATAGGGACACTGAATGTGACAAAACAGTATATATTTCAGCTACAATAGTCAGAAAAGAGCCAAGTAAAGACCTGGGAGAAGAGATGGGGGAACCATAAATACAAAGGCTTGGAGGATAGAAAGAGTTTAACAAAAACTAAGCAGACACAGTGGAGCACATGGCAGGGGACACAGTGGTGGAGCCACAGAGGTGGCAGGAGCCTTCTAAGCTATGGTAAGGAGTCTGGCTTTTCTTCTGAGTGTAAGGGGAGAACATAGCAAGGTTTGAAGCAGGACGTGAGAACTTCTACTTTAAGTTTTCAGAGCTCAGTCCAGCAGCTATGGGACGGGACTGGTAGAGAAGTAAGGTGTAGAAGCAAAGACTTCAGTTAGAACACGACTACAGCAGTCTGAGCAAGAGACAGTGGCTCAGAGCAGGGCTGGAGTGGAATGATGGAAACACAGGTGTAGTTTTGAGGTGTGAAAGGACTTCCTGATAGATTAATGTGGGGCATGGGGGAAGACAAGAATCAAAGATTCCATGGTGGTTTATTGCCTGCTCAGCGAGTGAATGGAGATCTCATTTATTGAGGTGAGGGAAAACCGGGGAAGAAGGTTTTGAAAAGGGTGGGCAAGATCAAGAGATCTCTTCTGGGTAAAACTAAAATTAATAATTAATGAAATATATTGTGTAGGTAATTAGTATATTCATATGGAGTGCCTCACTATATATATTAATTTGGGAATTATCACCTTGTCATTGATACTGAAAGTCATAAGACTTGAAGACATCCTCTGAGCAGGTATATATAAAAGAGAGAACTGGGCTAAGAACAGAGCCCTTGGGGTCTAGGGGAATGTGGTAGAACCAGAAATGATAGTAGAGAAGGAATGACAAATGAAGGAGGGGGAAAATAAGGAGAATCTAGTGTCAGAGACACCAAAAGAAAATTGTATTTCAAGAAAGGAAGTGTGTAGAATGATGCTGAAAGGGTAAGCAAGATGGGGACAGGGAAGGGATTTCTAGGAACAGGCAATGTGGATATTATTGATAACCCTGCCAAGGGCAGTTTCATAGGAATGATAAAAATAGAAACCTGATTAGATGAACTTGAAGAAAGGTAAGGAAATGCAGATAGCAATTATAGTCAAAAATTTTTAACAGGATCTGTTGAGAAGGAAAAGAGGGAGATGGGGTGGCAACTAGGAGGGGGATGTCACATCAAGGGAAGGACTTTTAAAGATGGAATGGGGAGCCTTTATGGCATGTTAGTACACTTGTGATAATGAACCAGGAGAGAGCACAAACTTGACAATAAAGGAGAAGGGCAAGTGAAGGAGCAGCATCTTGAGGTTGGGGGACTGGGATAGTATCAAGAGGGATAGCACTAAGACAAAAAGTGGCAGAGTTGAATTTAGGAACAACGGCACCTTTGTAAAAGAATAGGCAAAAGACACAGGTATAGATGCAAGCAGGCTGGTAGATTTAATGATGGGAGGACACACGGGCTGTATGTCTGACTATTTTAATTTTCTCAATGTACAACTCAGACTCTCAGAACTTTGTGGCCAAGAAGACAGAATAATGACCAGCAAACATATTTAAAAATGCTCAATATCGCTAATCATTAGATAAATGCAAATCAAAACCACAATGAGATATCATCTAACTCCAGTGAGATTGGTCTGTATCAAGAAATCCCAAAACAACAAATACTGGTGAGGATGTGGAGACACAGGAACACTCTTACACTGCTGGTGGGACTGCAAATTAGTCAACCTCTGTGGAAAAGAATTTGGAGACATCTCAAAGAGCTAAAAATAGAAATACCATTCAACCAAGTAATAGCACTATTAGGCAACTACCCAAAAGAGCGTAAGACATTCTATTATAAAGACCTCTGTACTTGAACATTTATGGCACCACAACTCACTATTGCAAGGATGTGGAAACAACCCAAGCATCTGTCAATTCATGAGTGGATTATTAAAATTTGGTATATGTTTACAATGGAATATTACTCAATTCTAAGAAATGACAGCAAGCTAGCACAGCTTATATTATCCTGGATTGAGCTTAAGCCCATTATCCAATGTGAGATGAAACAAGATCACATATACTTGCCATCAAATTAGTACTGACTGATTAACACTATGGTGCTCAAAGGGTGGTGGTGTTCACCAGGGATTCGGGGGTTGGAGGGGTAGTCCCACATCTAAGGGATGTGGTGAGCATTGTGAAGGAGAAGGGCATACCTCTAACCCTTGCTACGGAGAGGCAAAGATATAAAAGGTAACTAAAATGTTAAGAAAAAAAGAAAAACAAACATTTGTCGGATGTAGGGCAGGTGATGGTGGGAAGAGTGGATGTGTATATACATACATAGTGAGTGTGATGTGCACCACCTAGGGGATGGACAGTCTTGAAGCTCTGACTTGAGGGGGGAGGAGAGACAAGGGCAATGTATGTAACCTTAACATTTGTACCCCCATAATATGCTGGAAAAAAAGAAAAGAGAAAAAAAAAATTTTCTCAATGTAACATAAAGTCAGCAACTTAAGTGGGAGAGGGGGGATTTTTCAGATTTGACAAGGAAATAGTGAGTATGATATAGTCATTTCTGAGAATGAGAAATCAAATTTACTAGTCATTTTTATTAGGATTGCCTAATAATTAGGAACATTTAGATCTGTGACCATAAATTCAACATAAGACAAGTAAGCACAGTTGTGTGATTTTTCTCCCCCAGTAATATGCAGCTGCTCAATGATGAGACAATATAGGTAGGCACTTGTTTTATTAAATATATCAAGATAGAGGTTTTACAAAGCAAGAATGTCAAAAGCAAGCAAATTCAGGGTGTTTAGAAAGGAGTGACTATAGTGCTGGAGCATGAAATTTGAGCCAGATAAGGAGAGAAACATAAGGACATAGAGGTTAAAAACAAAAAAGTAGTAGGTTGCTGTATAAAAGTCCCAATTAGGTGGAAGAGTTGTTGGAGTGGAGACTAGAATGAGTGAACTGGGATGAGGGGAGGTGGTGGCCAGAGCTGCACTGTATTTTTCAGCATCATGAAAACAAGGTAGAAAATTTTCACAGGTAAAAATGTATTCCACTTACTTAAATACACACGAAAGGAAAGAGGCAGGTTTACTCTAGCCAGAACAGCTACACAATCCCCTAAATCAGAGAAATGGCACTGCCTAGGGATGGCAGCAGACCAAAGGGAAAGAGAAAGAGACAGCCTACGTACATACTACAGTGTAAGCTGTAGAGAGCTGTTTTTCTAAAACAGTCATTATCCGTTTCCCAAATTGTGTGAAGATAAGGATCTAGTACTGCTAGTATAGTCAAAATCAAGTTATAAAATCTGAAAAACAAACTAAGGATATGACACAATGTTATGACTATATGTCCCAGGAAATCCAAAGATGTGGTAGAGAAACAGAGAAGCAAAGAAACCCCTACCTTAAAGCACTGCTTGGCTTTTTGGACATATGACAGAATACACTGCCAACTTTTCCTCTTTAAAAAAAGGTTGGGGGGGGGGATGCTGCTCTATATTCACTTCTGGATTTCTGACTTATTCATAATGGCAGAGGAAAGTATCAGGCGTTTTGATGGAAGAAAGCATCCCTTTATTTTAAGCATTAGCTTAATTTCTATCACTGTGTAAAACAGGACATAGAATCTGAGACTTTTAAGTAAAATGTTCATACACATATTTAACCTCTTCCCCACCTCTATTATTTTCTCCCTTAATTTTACTATTCTTTTTTTTTCTGTTTGTATGCCCCGGCCTTACAGAATCAACCTGGGACTGAAACCGCCTTAGTGCAAGTCATATGGAAGGAGATTGCTGGCCCCATGACCCAGGAAAAGTAAGGTACTAGACAGACAATACGGCATTTTATTTGTTGCGATCTTCCTTCACCCTTCCCATCTGCAAAGTGCTTTGAAATACCACTCCTCTTACTTTTCCCCTCAAGGCTATATCAATAATGACGGCTATGCCTTTAGAAATGGACACCAACCCAAATGAGGCAACCAAAATGACAGAAGAGGAATTCCGAAAGTGGATCTTAAGAAAATTGAATGACCTGCAAGACCAACTCGATAACCAACACAAAGAAACCACAAAAAGCCTCCAGGACATGGAACAAAAATTCACTAAAGAAATCGATGCAATGAAGAAAAGTTTAACTGAACTCCTGGAAATGAAGAATCAATTCAGGGAACTACAAAATATAGTGGAAAGCATCAAGAACATGGTAGATCAAACAGAAGAATCTCAGAGATTGAAGATAACGCCTTCCAATTAAATAAGTCAGTAACAAGATAGAGCAGAGAAACAAGAGAAAAAGCAAAGCCCACAAGAGATGTGGGACTATGTGAAGAAATCTAATGTGAGGGTCATAGGGTTACGAGAAGGGGGAAAAGAAAACACTCAAAGGTTGGACCAGCTATTTGAAGCTACAATAGAGGAAAATTTCCCAGGCCTTGCTAAAAATCTCTAGATACAAGTTGAAGAAGCTCAGAGGACCCCTGGGAGACTCAATGCAAACAGGAAGACGTCACGACATACGGTCATGAGACTGACCAAAATATCAACTAAAGAGGCCCTTCTACAAGCTCTAAGACGAAAGAAGCAAGTAACATACGAGGGAAAGCCAATTGGAATAACACCAGACTTCTCTACTGAGACTTTAAAAGCAAGGAAAGACTGAGGCCCCATTCTCACTCTTCTGAAACAAAACAATGCCCAGCCTAGAATCTTATTCCCTGCAAAACTAAGCTTCGTATATGAAGGAGAAATCAAGATATTCTCAGATAAGCAAAGACTGAGGGAATTCACCAAGACAAGACCAGCCCTTCAAGAAATAGTCAAAACAGTGTTACCCATGAATCAGCACAATAAACACTCACGAATGTAAATTTACTCAAAGCTAAAGATCAAAGCCCAGATACTACAATGACTCAAGAGAGAAAATAAAGCAACAAAGTTCAGACGCCAAATTAATGAACAGAACTTGCCTACTATCAGTTATCTCAATAAATGTGAGTGGTTGAACTCGCCACTAAGAGACATGGCTGCCGAATGGATAAAAAAAAACACAAGGCAATATCTGCTGCCTTCAGGAAACACATCTAACCTGCAAGGATGCAGTTAGACTAAAGTTAATAGTGTGAGAACAATATTTCAAGCAAACGGAAGCCAAAAGAAAGCTGGCGTGGTGGTGCTGATTACAGACAACTTAGTTTTTAAATCAAAAAAGTAATAAAAGACAAAAGAAGGTCACTATATTAATGGTTGAAGAGTACAGTTCAACAAGAAGATTAACAATTCTAAATATATATTCACCCAACCTTGGTGCACCCAGATTCATAAATCAGATCTACTGGATCTAAAAAATGGTAAACTATACCACCCATAATAGACGGGCTTAACACCCACTTGAAAGCCTGACAGGACAGATCCTCCATAAAAAGATGCAAAAACAAAGAATAACTGGACTAAACAAAGCCCTAGACAATGGCTGATTGTACTTACAGGAATTCGTACCCAAACAGGCTGAATATACATTCTTCTCGATACGCTCACATGTGGTCATCTCTAACGACTGACGCATATCCTCGGACCAGAAAGCACGTCTAAACGAATTGTAAGTAAATAGAAAAATTTTATGATTCGTGCTCTCTTTCGGGATTCCACAATGGAATAATGTAGAAACCGATCAAGACGATCCTCAATTGCCTACACAAAGTCATGGAATGAAAACAACTTTCTGCTGAATGATCATTCTAAACGGAGGAAATCAACTGATGGAAATAAAAGATTCGTTTGACTAAAGTCACAATGACACAAGTTACCAGAAACCTGGTGGGACACAGCTAAGGCATCCTGAGAGGATAGTCTATTCCACAAACGCCTAATCCAAACGTCAAAAAGATCACAAATAGACAACTAATGAATCGTCTCAAAAGTGGAAAAAAAGAACAGACCAGCCAACCAGCAGAAGAAGCTGAAATTCATTAAGCAAATCAGAACTAAATGAAGTTGAAGCCAACAGGGAACTATAAAAGATTATAAACAAAAGTTGGTTCTTTGAAAAATAAACAAATTGACATACCATTGGACTAATGATAAGCAGAACAGTAAATCTCTAATGAGCTCCATCAGGCAACAGATAAAGGAGAAATTCATGATGCCACAGAGATTACAGAATAATTTAAATACTAAAAAAAACCTATGCACACAGAACTGGGAAAACGTGGAGGAAATGGATTTCTTGGAAACACAGCCGCTCCTAGGCTCAACCAGGAGAATATGAATTCTGACAGCCTATATCTACTGACATTGAAACAGCAACAAAAATACCTTCCTAAGAAAAGATCCTGACCGATGGCTTCACACCCAATTGTTACAACTCACGAAGAAGAAATGGGTACTATCTGCAGAAATTATTCAAACATTGAAAGGATGAATCTTCCAACACATTTGTATGAAGGAACTAACCCTGATACCAAACCGGAAAGGTGCAAACAAAATGAAAACTACAGCACCAATATCCCTATGATATAGTGCAAAAAGTCTCAACAAATGCAGCAATCGAATCCGGGTGTTGTCAAGTAAATAATCATCACGACCAAGTGGGCTTCATCCCAGGGAGTTGCAGGATGGTTCAATAGCAAATCTATAATGTAATTTCAGCATGATAAACGAACAAAATAGAGGACTGTGATCCCTCGTCAATGAGACGCAGAAAAAGCTTTGACAGAATCAAACCGCCTTTATGATAAGAATGCTCAAAAATAGGCACAGACGGCTTCCTAAAATGATACAAGCCTACATGACAAACCACAGCAATATCATATAAGGGGAAATATAGAAGCATCCCATTGAACTGGACAAGAGAAGGTCTCATCTATTCACTTCTAGGTCAAACTTGAGTGCTGTAAATCCTTGCTACAAGAATCAGACAAGAGAGCGGAATTAAGGCGCCAAATGGGAGCAGAAGAGATCAAACTCACTCTTGCTGATACATGATGTTATACTAGAAAACCCCAAGGATTCACCATGAGACTCTTGATCTATAACTGAATTTGGTAAAGTTCAGGATACAAAATCAATACACAGAAATCAGAAGCATTCATATAGGCCAACAACTGTACAAGTGGGAACCAATTAAAGACTCAATTCCTTAAAATAGCAACAAAGAAGAATAAAGTAACTTGGAATATATTTAACTAAGAGGTAAAAGACCTCTACAGGAGAACTATGAAACACTGAAAGAATAGCAGACGAGGTAAACAGGTGGAAGTACATACCATGCTCATGGTTCGCAGAAGTAACATTGTTAAAATGTCATACTACCCAAAGTGACTGCAGATCAATGCAATCCTATCAAAATACTATCATCATTTTTCACAGATATAGATAAAATAATTTTACGCTTCGTATGGAACTAGATAAGACCCCGTATAGGAAAATCAATTGTAGGCAATAAAAACAAAATAGGAGTTATCAATTTATCAGATTTCAAACTATACTACATTTCTATAGTAATTAAAACAGCTTGGGACTGGCACAAGAACAGGGACATTGACCAGTGGAACAGAACAAAGAGCTCAGATATAAAACCATCCTCATATACCCAACGAATCTTCGACAAAGCAGACAAGAACATACACTGTGGAAAAGAATCCTTATTCAATAAATGGTGCTGGGAAAACTGGATAGCCACATGTAGAAGACTGAAACAAGACCCATACCTTTCACTTCTCACAAAAATCAACTCCCGCTGGGTAACAGACTTCAACATTAGGTGTGAATCTCTTAGAATTCTAGAGGAAAATGTTGGAAATATTCTTCTAGCCATTGGTCCAGGCAAAGAATTTATGAAGAAGACCTCAAAGACAATCACAACAGCAACAAAAATAAACAAATGGGGCCTGATCAAATTAAAAAGCTTCTGCACAGCCAAAGAAACTGTCAAGAGAGCAAACAGACAACGCCCAGAATGGGAGAAAATTTTTGCAAGCTGCATATCCGATAAAGGACTGATAACTAGAATTTATTTAGAACTCAGGAAAATCAGCAAGAAAAAACCAAACAACCCTATCAAAAAGTGGGCAAAGGACATGAACAGAAACTTCTCAAAAGAAGACAGAATAATGGCCAACAAAGAAATGAAAAAATGCTCAACATCTCTAATAATCTTGAAATGCAAATCAAAACTGCAATGAGATATCACTTAACTCCAGGGAGAATCGCCTTTATCAAAAAGTCCCCAAACAACAAATGCTGGCTGGATGCGGAGAGATAGTAAAAGCACTTCCTACACTGCTGGTGGGACTACAAACTAGTTCAACCTCTGTGGAAAGCAATATGGAGATACCCTAAAGCGATACAAGTAGATCTACCATTTGATCCAGCAATTCCACTACTAGGCATCTACCCAAAAGATCAAAAGTCACTTTATGAAAAAGACATATGCACTCGATGTTTATAGCAGCACAATTCACAATTGCAAAGCTGTGGAAACAACCAAGTGCCCATCAATTCATGAGTGGATTAATAAAATGTGGTCTATGTATATACCATTGACTACTACTCAGCATTAAGAAACAATCGTGATATAGTACCTCTTGTATATTCCTGGATACAGCTGGAACCCATCCTACTAAGTGAAGTATCTCAAGAATGGAAAAACCAGCACCACATGTACTCACCAGCAAATTGGTATTAAAAGATCAACACCAACGTGGACATATAGGAGTAACATTTATCAGGTGTCCAGAGGGTGGGAGGGGGGAGGAGGAGTTGGGTATATACAACCAAAACGAGTAAGATGTGCGAAGTTTGGGGGATGGACACGCCTGAAG